GAATATTACTTTCTTCATATGAATTATATCACATTTTTTGTTTAATTCAAGGCCTATCAAACAGGTTTAGAGCATTTGAGCAAAACCAACATTTGCCTGTATTTTGTTGTTGCTTCTGGTATCGAAGGTGCCAAAAACTGTTCTGATTTTTTCTTCTACATCAAAGCGTGCCATGCGAAATACGAAAAAGGTAAAAAATTTAAATTAAAAAAAATGAAAATTGTTGCAACTTTCTTTCTTAGTAGCCGTGGGTAACACAGTGTGGCGCCGCGCCATTGCGCTGATACCGAGAGCTGAGTTACTGGCGCCGATACCGATTTTCACAACTCTGTGACGCAATGGCGCCAGCAACACCGGAAAACTAACAACACCGGGCGGAGCAAAGAACCAGCAAAGAACACACAAAAGAGAAGTCTCACTTGTAAAATGTGCAGCACAAGGCGAATTTTTACAAGGTGGTGTTGCTAAAATTAGCCGCGGTCCTTCTGAATGTGAAAATTATGTGTTTATTGTATTTTTGGGTTTTGAACTTGGCTTGTTTTTGCCCAACCGATACCACCTTGTATTAATTCACCTTAGTTCAACACCGGAACACTGACAACACCGGGTGTCGCAAAGAACCAGCAAAGAACACCCGAAATAGAAGTGTCTCTTGTAAAATGTGCAGCACAGCTAGAATTCGTCGCGGTCCTTCTGAATGTGAAAATGATGGGTTTGTTGTATTTTTGGGTTTTTAACTTGGGTATACTTGAGTTTTTTCTCAACCGATATCACCTTGTATTAATTCACTTTGGTGCAGCGTGCAGCAATAAAGGAAATGAGCTTTAGCCTGAAGAGGCGCAATTGCGCCAACACACTGTGCTGATTCCGACAGTGGCGCTGGAGTTAGTGTGTCAGCGCCAAAAAATTTGCGCCGTTACCCAGGCCTATTTCTTAGTAAATTGGTTCGCTTCTCGAAGCATTGATCCATCCTGTGCCAGGCCCAGTAATCAGCGGTTGTGCTGCTGAGTTGGGCGAGCTTTCCAAAAGCTGCTATTTAATCGCTGGTTTTGTATGGAAAATGTTTCACATGCAAATAGATTTTAACAATTTAGAATTTTTGTGAGAAGAAATGTAAAATATTTGACATTTGCGAGAACAAATAATTTGAAAAAAATCAAATCAGCTGCTATACTGATATTACCTGTTCAAAGTGCCTTGGTTTAATTGTATTTTTGGAATAAACAAAGTTCTTTTTCCTTCTGTCAGTAAACTGTTTTTTTTTTTAACAAATAGTATAAATAAGCAATGGGAAATAAGGCATAATTTGTTTTATTTCCAACCTTTGTTGGAAACAGTGTACGAAAATAAACTATATTGTACGTTACTATTTCGTTTCGTTTATTACTTCAACAGTTCGGTACAATACGAAAACAAAACGGCTGAGTTCACTTTGGCGATAGTACACTACAGTAGTTTAGTAGTTACAGAGGAAACAACAAACGAAATGAATCGTGCAGAGAAAAATATTTATATATATGTACATATATGCAATAACTAAATACAAAACGAATGGCTGCAATGAATAAAAAAATTTAAATGTTTTTTATTTGAATTGGATATGAAAATTTACAGAAAAAAATATTTTGCATGTAATTGAAACGTTTGCATACATATAAAACGTACCCTATGGTACAATTGTCACAAACGAAAAGCAAACGTTTCTCGTTGGGGAAAATGACAGTGAATCTTACAATTTGTTTCTGACTATGTACAAAACTGTACAAAACCACAAATGATATGATGATCGATGAGCAATGGGAATTGTTTTGTACAGTTTATTTTCGTACCTTGGTTGGAAATAAAGCAAAACTCAGATTTTGGTATTATTTCCCATTTAAAAGTTAAATAAAGCAAATTTTGCGTTATTGCCGTTTGTGTTATTTCACCCCCCCCCCCCCCCCCTCATATGCCTGCGTCTAGATGCATGCAACGCATGCGTGTGTCAATAGGTATTGGTTATGTAATAAATGAGCAATAAAAGACGAACGTAAAAACTAAATGCGTATTTTACACAGATTGATAAATTTTTAAATAATGTTAATACTAACGGCATCGCTGTTAAGGTATGATGATGGTTTGGTGTTGTTAAATATGGATAAGGCTGCCAGATATCTCTGTTGCCAAACCGGGAAACTTAAAGGGGGGAGAGGCCTCTCGCTCCCTTCCCTTTCATTTCGACAAAAATTAAGTACGAAAAGATGTAGTAAAATTTTATTTTGACAAACAAAAACAAAAATATAAAAACATGAGATCATGAGATCATTACAACGTACACCAGCAAAACAAAACAATTTATCACAACTAAAGCACAGAGAATTTTTCACAATGCATATACCTTTTTTGTTCCTTATAAAAATACAGTTTATACTAAATACATCAGAAAACATAAAAATAAAATTTCTAAACTTTGTGCAAAACTCGGGAAAATGTAATAAATTCGCAACTTTCTATTCAGACTTTTTAAAAATTTTGAAAATGAAATTTTGCAGCCCATAAAAATGTAGTTGATTTTTGGTATTGTTTTTACTGAGAGTTTCTTCCATACAAACTATGTTCGACATTTTTTTGTATGTGGAAGACACTGTCAGCAAAAAATAAATAATTGCAAAAAATCAACGAAATTTTCTGGTAACTTGAGACTTGCACTTTACTAATTGGCTTAAAAGCTACATTTTCAATATTTTTCTAAAAGATCTGATTAGAAATTGTGATCAGATGAAAGAGTCTCCGAGCCAATAATTTTGTACGGCACGGTACTTATAAGTAATCTAGGTCTCACGAAAGAAAAAAAATTAAATAACTACAAGGTAACATTAAAATATCATTTGTTTCGTTGCTGTGAACTTGTTTCAAAACTTCTGGCTTTTGCTTAATATAATTGTAAAACTCGGTGCATGCCATTTTAACGTATTTAGGTACATACATTATATTAATCATTTACATTTGCTTGTGCAAAACGTGATAAATTAAAAAAAAAAATCGCATATGAAAGAGCACCAACCCAACTCGTAATAAATTTAAGTATACAAATATTTTGACCATGTTTCTGCAAATTTATTAGCGATGCTCTGAGCATCATAAATCGGGCCTTCTAGAGAGTGAATAAACGCGATATGATTCCGTTGGGGCGAAGATGTGTGTTTTTATATCTGCCCACACTTTTTTTGGGCTAGAAGACGGAGTGATTTCCGACGTAAATTTTTCCAGAGATTGGCGTTTTGAAGATTTGAGTTCACGTCTGAAAAGGGCATTAGCTTTTTTATATTCTACATAGTTTTCGTCAGTTCTGTTCCTTTTATATTGACACCACAATTTCTTCTTTGTATTTTTTAGTATTGATAAAAGGTTCGACCAGTATGGTAACTTAGCATAAAAAAGTTGTGTGTTGGTTTGTGGGATCGCATGGTGTGCAGCTGAGCGAATAATCGATTTGATTGCTGATGCTTCTGCGTTAATGTTCGTAGAATATGGTTTGTTATTGGACAAAGTTATTGAGGAGCTAGAGAATTTTTGCCAATCTGCCTTTTCTGCTATGAATTTGGCAACGGGCTTGACTTGATAGGAAATGGGGATTGCTAGGGAAGTTATGATAGGGAAATTGTCACTATTGTGGAAGTCATCCAATGTTTTGGATGATAGTTTTGGGGCTATAGACGCGGAGGAAAGGATAACATCAGGGTGTGAAAAGGTTTGCTGGAAAAATGGGTGGGGGAACAATCATTAAGGACCACGAGATTTTTGGAGAGTATAATGTCCTCCATTATTTTTCCCCTTTTGTTGGCCGAAGCAGAGCCCCAAAGGGGACTCCACGCATTAAAGTCTTCTAATAGCATTATTGGAGTTGAAAAAAGATTCAGAATGTCGGTTAGTTCTCTGTTATTAAAACTTTGATCTGGAGGAAAGTAGCACGTAATGATTGTGACCTTAAAACCAATGTCCACTTCTAACGCAAGCCAACTGAATATTTGAAGTGATAGGTATTTGTTTATGGATAATTGATTTCTTCACAAATACAGCAATGCCTTGTTTACGGGAGATATTTCGTGGACTATTATGAAAATAGCTCACATATTTGTTGGGTGGATGTGCTGATTTTCTGGCAGGGATATGTGTCTCTTGTAGAGCTATAATTTCGGGAGTGAATTCTTTAATTAGTAAATTTAAATCGGGGTAGTTGTTAAGAAGGCCATTAAGATTCCACTGAAGTATTTTCATGATTCATTATTGTTCATTTCATTTGTATCACTAGAATCTAATGTGAAGGTTGTAGAGGAGTTGATGTCCGAAGAGAGTTGCGGTATTAAATCGGATGTGAGAGAATTGATTTGGGAGATGAAGTCATAAATAAATAAATGTTTTTGTTTTCGAGCTGAAAGACTAATAGAAGGAAACACGGAACTTAAGAATAATAAGTTTTATGAGGAAAAAAATAATTACACTAAGAAAAAGTATTAAACAACTAGAGATGCATCCAGTTTTTTCAACAGACCTTTGACAAATAATATTCGATTCTCTTTATAGCCAGCCGTTGAACATTTCCGCTGGAAATACCTACTATTATCTTACGCTTTGACTTTAAATTACGAAAGAAGGTAGACGTAGGGGACAGTCTTACCGTAGCATCTCTACAGGCAAAAAATATTGGCTAAAATTTTTGTTTGCCAGATATACGTTTTAACAGTGCACTTGTAGAATATTCGCATTCTGATTATTGCGAATGTGAAAGCGAATGCGAATGTCATAATTTATGCGGAAGTTCCGCGGTTGCGAATGCGAATATTCGCAGCAACCCTTATACAGAGCTTCTCCTTTTATAACATGTAAGCAATTTGTTGTATAGCTTAATACCTTCTCACACGCTTACATATGTACACACGTGCAAAATTTTTTTGTATACGATTTATTTATGCAGCAAACACAGATAAATTACTTTTTGGACGACAGAATATCAAACATACCTTTACCGTTATCGCTATGCAGAGAAGCCACGCTGCCAAAGAAGCGTTTATCCAATATTTGTAATAACTGGAGAGCGGTGGAATGCACTTCAACGCGCGGACAGCCAGTCATTAAAAGTGTAACCGTGATTACTGATGTGTAATGGTCACATGGGTATTCCCTGCAAGAGAAAATAATGAAAAACTACATTAAAAATCTTACTCTAAATAACAACTGACACCAGGGTGTCCAGATTGTTTAAAAAAAGCGCAATTTCTGAAAAAAATCTCCAAAAATCGCCAATATTTTTTTTTTTTTAATCCTTAAAATCGTTTTAACAAATCTTTTATTTTAAAAATGAAATCTTGTTATAATATAGTTTTTAAAACCAAAAACGAATATAATACCTTCAGAAGGTAATAATAAATAACACAAATTACTTATGTAATAGTGATGTACAAACAATTTCCTTTAAAAATACGCATACTTTTTAAAAATATTTGTTTCAACACATTTTGCAATAGGACTGCGCAATTATTATACTTATTATAACTAATATTACTTGATTAATCGCACAATCCGCTTTTAAGAGCTCGGCGCTAAAAAATAAATAAAAACCTATAATAAGGCGAGATTAGCTTTTTCTACAATTGCTTCAAAATCACCCGTAGTGTCTGAATGATTTACATTTCTGTTTTTGTCATATAGGGAGGGTTGTAGGTGCTTCAATTTATTTTGCTCATCTCGCAGAACAACGAAAACGGCTATAATTTTATGTAGTTATATAGATAATTAGATACCATTCAGAAAAAATTTCACTTGCAGTAATTTCTACGTGGTAAATGCTCCTCTATTATTTGGTTTCATAGGGATTCGGATTCCTTTCCTGAAGTAGTAAAGAAATTTCGCTGTACTGTATAAATAATATCGGTGGAGAGTTGGGGAATACTGAAACCTTAAGTGAAAATGAATTGTTTTATGAACTGCCTTATGAATCTCTCCTCAAGGCATATCTGCGAGACATGTAGTATTTTTTTTTTTAATTTACGTATTTCAATAATGTTATAATTAATGGCTAGATGAAATCATTTATGTACATATTTTATTATGTAGCTCATTTCAAGGGGGAGGGGGTTGAGTATGGTATGCAAATAACTTGTGTCAAAACCAAGCTAATTGGACAATGTTTTCGAGTACTACTTAAACACATACATATACTCATCATTTGAACATAAAAAACGTTGCGTGGAAAAGTTTGTCTTACGAATGCTAAGTCATATTTTCAGATTTTATTTACTGACTTTACAATTTTTTCTAACGCTTGACATAATTTTACATTAAGATAGTGCAATTTTTTAGCTGCTATTAATTTCGTACAGAAAAAGTAATCATTTGACCTAATGTGCAGTGGTAAAAAAATTATAGCCGAACCATTTTTTTCCAAGTTTTAACGTATTATTTTTGTTGTCATTGAACTTTTGTTGTTTTTTTTTTACAAAAAATATAGTTTATTCTTTAACAAAACCCGTGTAAATCCAAGTTTAAAAATTTGTGCAATATTAAAAAAAATTCAACAATATTTCGTGTAAATTTCGAACTTTTTAAGATCTCTAAAAAATCAGATTTTATTTTAAAAAAATCGAAATTTTAACGAAAATTTGTTGAATTATTTTTTTAAATGGCGTAAATTTTTAAGGCAGTGTTACTCGATTGGTACATTTTTATATTGGGCTATTGGGAAGAAAATGGGGAAATTTTGATTTTTGTAGTCAAAAGATTGGTACAGCGATGTTCTATTGAAAAATTTCAACAAATTAGTTTTCGTGATCGGGATAAAGAAAAATATTTTGGGTGTTCACACAATTGGGATACGATTTGCACCAAATTTTAGAAAATACCCAATCGTGTGACGCTGCCTTTAAACATGTATTTATACGGATGTTTTAAAGAATGAACTATAAAAAACTAACCAAAATTAAATAACAGCAAAAATACTATTTTAAAACTAGTGAAAATTTGGTGCGGCTATAATTTGTTCGACTACCGTACATAAGTTGACTATGATTACCCGGCCGTGCTATCATAGTAGCACAATGCCACTAAGCGCATTTTAAAATTTTCAGGCAATAGCCTCATGCGATCATCGATTATATTTTTTGTTGTTTGTGTGAAATATTTAATTTTTATCAGTATTTTTCTTTTAATCAAAATATGTTGAAACAAAAGTGAAATTAAAAAAAATTTTGCCAGAATACTCACAAAGCTATTATTAATTCTAATATATGCGAAAGCGCATTTTTAGATACACATGCAAATTTAGCAAGGTCATGTTCGTGCTAGTCAAAAAAACCGCAAATCTGGCCTGGTGGGAAACCTAGAAAGGTTTCCTCCGTATTCCGAAGTCAACATATGTTTGCTAGTCTTGAGGTACGTCGTAAACGTGACCGTTAAAGAATCTATGTGGTGTCTAAATGTTGTGATTTGTCCTACATTGATGAAACTTTTTGAACTCGAACTTGGAGAGCGATGTCCAAAGTAAGTCGAGGCTATTTACCACAGGGGAAAATCGAAAATCAGTAGAACACGAGTTTCTGGCTACAGCCCATCTGAGCTTAAAATAACGCATTTTGACTAAAGGTGTTTTCGTTTCTACCAAAAAATGTTGTCTTTTGATAACCCCCTTCTCTTTTCGTATTCGATTCTAAAATAAAGGCAAACGGTTGCCCTGAAAACCAGATGGTTGCTTAAAACGACCATATTATGAGATGCTTGAGCCAGACAAGGACAAGAGGGCAAAAACATGCCCTTTACCGGGCTGAGTGTAACAACAAACCCATTTTGCACTGTGGAAGGGCAACATTTTTTGGAAGAAACGAAATCACCATTAAACAAGAAAAAAAATTGTTACCCATTTACTTGAAAATCGTTCACCACATACTACGATAATAAAGGTGAAACTACTTTGCAGAGTCCGAACATATTAGTTTTTGATGAAAACTGTCATTGAAAAAATCACTATGAAGGAAATGTTCTACAACTAAGTGATACATACCAATCGGCTTCTTTTTTCACCGAGAATCAAAATTGGAAATAAATTTTTATTTTTAGTTTTTATGAAAAATTAAAACAAAACAATTATTTTTGATTTTTATTTTACAAATCCAAAATAACAATTATTTTTAATATTTATATAAATAATCTGTAGATAACAGTTATTTTTGAATTTGATATTATAAATCTAAGATAACAGCTGTTGAAGACTTTTATTAATAAAAGTCCTCAATAAAAATCAATCAATCATTTTTCGCAGTTAAGAAAGTGTTGGAGAACCAAAATTTACTACGACTTATACAAATGACTTTTATAAGTATGATTTTAAAAATAAAAGTCAGAGAATAATTTATATTGATGACTTTTATAAATAAAAATCTTCAATAACTGTTATCTAAGATATATAATTTAAAAATCAAAAATAACTGTTATTTGCAGTTTTTTTAGATAAAAATCAAATATAATTGTTATTTTCAGATTTATGAAATAAAAATCAGAAAAAACTGTTATTTAAGGAGTAATTAAATAAAAACCAAAAAATAATTGTTAAAGAGTGATTTTTTAATAAATGTTGTAACTGTTACGGTCCCTGCTAATTAGTTTTTTTGCAAAAGCACCGACCAAGTATGAAGAGAAAACGTTGGAAATTTGTTTTAAAATTAAAATTATTTTTGTAGTGGTCGAGGTTGGTCCGGCCTATATTTAGTGGCGGTCCCGAATTTTCTCTTTATGTAAAATATACTTATATATGCATGTATTTGCCTTATAACCGTTAGATATCCGAATTTGAATACATAGGAATGTATTTATGTGGTATGAATTGCCTAGTTTCATAATAGAATAGAATTTAAGAATGGAAATATAAAGCCACAAAACAATCATCTCTTTAATTTGAAAAGAAACTCGGAAAACGTCTAATGCGAGTTACCTTGGTTAAAAGATAAACGTTTAAAAAAACATAGGGATTGAGTGAGGAGGATAGTTCCATCTGCAGTGTCCATGTGCCCAATTGAAGCGACACGCGGCACCAGGAGCAGTAGAGCGAGTAGTTTATCTGTCTATAAAATATAACAAGGAGCTCTAATAATTAGGAGATTTTATTACCTCCCTCTTCATGTCTACATCATGCGTTATCAAAAATAAGTTTATGCTTTCATTGTGCTTTCATTGACGGTAAGTTACTTGTTAACCATTGTGGTGTCGTTAAAAGAATTTTATTTTTATAAAATTTTAATTTAAATTCTATGTATTTTAAGTTTCAAAAAAGAAAAATTCTGAAGTATCAAAAATTTTCTTTTTGATTTACATTAATTGAAAAAGAACTTAATTCAATAATTTCAGAAATAACAAAGTACAAAAATGAACAAAGTACAATAGTAAATAGTATTAACCCTACAATACTCCCCCTTCCAGAAAGTGATTATTATACAAATTGAAAGTAACTTGTTTCTTTTTAGTCATTGTTGAAACTATATGATTGTTAGTGTTATGTGGTTGTGTTATTTCAACTATTGCTGGCTTTATTCTGTCAGTCGAAATAATTTTAATTTCATTATTCACATCTACCTTAAAATATTTTTTGTCTTTTTCAATAACTCTGTAAGGCCCTTCATAAGAATGTTGAAGAGAATGCTTGTTAATAATGCGAATAAAAACAAATTTGCAAGTTTGTAAATCTATTGGAACATAAATTCCTGAATCGGAATTTTTGTGATGTTTAAAATTTGGATTAAAATTTTTAAAACGTTCCCGTAAACTTCCTAAAATTTCGGCGGAAGTAACATTTTCTGTAGTTGGCACAACAAGTTCTCCAGGTAGACGCAAATTTTGGCCAAAAAGAATTTCAGCTGGAGTGGCTGCAATATCTTCTTTGTACACTGAACGCAAACCAAGAAGAATAATCGGTAGCTCATCGTACCAATCTCTAGTTCCATTCCTAGCCAAAATTGAAGTTTTCAATTGTCTATGGAATCGTTCCACAATACCATTACTTTGAGGATGATAGGAAGAAGTTGTGATATGATGACTTCCAAGTAATTTAGTAAGTTCCGAAAATAACTTGGACGTAAATTGAGTACCCTGATCCGTCGTGATTTCTAAAGGCACACCGAAACGCGAAACATATTCATT